GCCCAGAGTTTTGTGTCAGAATCTGGAGAGGAAAGATTTGCGTGGACATTGACGTTTATATTTTATGTGTCTGGACAGAAACCGTTAAGCAGCCAGGCGTAAGAAGCACCGAAGCTGCTACATTGGGTGCTCCCAATCAGAGAAATATCAAAATACACAAACTGAAATCCTCACCAATGAAGTCTGTAAAAACTAGATGAGACTGTAAACAAATAATTGAACTCAATTAAATGGTCATTACCCCTAAAGATGTGTGTTTTGGTATAACATGAAGGCAATACATCTAGGAAATGAGGATACAGGCTTCATCCATTGATGTGAAGCAATGCTGTCCAGAAAGTACTGGTCACAAGTTGTTCCCATTTCATGCTTTTTGTGCAGTATAGTTGTAGTAACTTGTTACTGCGAGCCTGAGATGTACAAACAGGACAACAGCAAGTAAGAGAAGGGCAGTGAGGTTGTAACTGAGCATGGAGTTCTGATAACTGGATTTTAGGAAGGATAAAGAAATACTGAAGAGGATTCAAGGAGTTAAATCATAATTTAAGGGGTGTTATTTATTCAGATTATCAGAGATGTTTGAGAGTTGGCTTCATCACTTCACAGACTTCTTTACAAAGATTTTTTACCAGATCTTATGTAACTTTGTGATGAAAGTGTGACAAAATCCAGGGATTAGCAGCTGAAGTTAAACAAACTCAGCCTTGAGTTAAATCTTCATTGCCTGTCAGGGAAAGTGACTGAAGCCTTAAAAAGCTCATAAGGGAAAGAGTGAAGTGGTCATTATAGGCTGCTTTAAAGTACAAGTAAAAATATATGTATGCAAGATTAAAAGACAGTTTTAAAATTCTGCTTCTGGGAGAAATTTTGTGGCCTGTGTATGTGGGAGATCAAACTGGTGGATTGTGACTGTACCCCCAAAGTCTGGCATCGGTGATTGAATGCATGCTGGTGCCTTTCCCTCAGGACCATAAATGCTCTTGTGCACTTTTATGATTTTGGAAGTTGTCAGTCACCGTATTTTCACTTTACTGTCTTTAGTACATTTATTTCTGTTTCATAACATCGTAACGTGGACGTGTTGCCACATGAGCACTGGTGAATTGAATTGGAATGAGAAACTCATGAAGTCACCCCACCTTGCTCTTTGTATCATCCTCGTCATGTACAAATACAGGTCCTGATACTTGCCAGCCGTGGCCTGACTTTTTAAGACAAATGAGTGCCAGTTTGCTTTTCTATGCTCCATTATGGCGGGCAGTGAACTAATTCAGGAGTGAAGTCAATCCCTATCTCGCAGCAGCAGCTTCCACGAGAGGGACAGATAACTGGAGCAAAAGCCCTGTCAGCTGCCACAAGTTTATCTGCTGCTGCCTGGGTCAACACTTCACATTAGTTTGAGGTAGCAACCTCTAAATTACCTTTAAAGAAATCTCTCCTGGGCAAGTCTGTGCAGTCCTCTCAGCATTCCGCAATCAGCCTGGGAAAGTTCTTCACTCCCACTTTTCTCTGCTGATTGCAGCAAAACATGGACTCTTAAAGCAGTTGATCTGAGCACCTATGCGTGCACTAATACCTCTCACCCAGCATGTACTAAGTGCAGCAAACCCAACCTTCTGGGTGTGCTCTGAGTCCAGCATTCACATAGCTGCGATTTATAAAGGACAAGTGTAGCTCCTCCTGCTTAACCCTGAAAGACAGACACTGCACTGCAGCTGCTTCAGAGGCAGCATGCACGGGTGTCTGCTTCCCCCATCTCAAACTCTACCTTCTGATCCATGGTCTGGAAATCACTTTTTCCACACTGTCCCAGATCACAGGATCATGGAAGGGACCTTAAAGACCGTATAGTTCCATTCCACCTGCTATGGGCGAGGACACTTCCAGATGTACTCATCCTTAGGCAGAGTCACAGAACAGACATTTCATCCCAAATCATGAATATGTGCCATGGGGCACCCCAATAATTTTGGTGAGATATTTTATTTGATGATGTATGTACCAGAAGGCAGTCTGAGCTCACTGCCTCTGTTTAGGTTTTTTTTTAGGTTCTTAAATATGCAAAAGGTTACATGGTGCTACAAATATGTAATCTGCTCAAACTGAGGATGCAGGCTGTTATTCTAACACTCACATGAAACATGAACTATCTATAGAAATGAGGAATTAAACTATGAAAATCAGTGAGCACTCCAGTTTCTGTACTAATGCTACTTGTTATAGGCAGTCTGGCTACAAAGCTTTTGTTTTGTAAATAATGCACAAATATTCTACAGCATGCAGTCATTGGTCTTACCTTTTCCACTTGTATTCATTTATCATATAAAAATTCACCCTTCTGTGGACTAAAATAGTTACAGCATGGATGAATTACTCCAGTGTAAGACCTAAGCTTTGCTCTTGTAAGTATATAAATACTACAGTATTTCAGTCAAAACAAGTATTGTTATTCTAAAATACACTCAGTATCTTGGCATAAAAAAAGTTTACATTATCTAGTTTCATGGTCAGTAGCTATTCCAGTATTTCAGAGAGCTTTACGATGTGTGCAACATGAGTGTGTGTTGATCTCTGATTGCCATCATTTCTGAGGACCGTCAGAGCACTTTGGTTAATGACACAAACTGAATTGTTTTAATGAAAGACGTTAGTGCCATAATGTTTAATTTGAATCAGAAACCATTTCTTGTATTGCAAACTGTTGGCAACAGTAATTCTACTTCCAAGGGAGTATTTGTGGGGCCCTCTTTCCTTGAAGATTATGAATCCCTGTAGCATGCTGAATAAGTAGAATTTGTCTTTTTAAGTTTCAGGGAACATTTTAGGATGTCATAAAAAAAAAGAAAAAAAGGATTTTTTTTTTTTTAATTTACATCAGATTATTCTAATAATGTAGGACATAGCTAGATAGTGCTGCTTTTACTTACTGTGTCAGTGATCTCAGAATGAGACTGGTAGCTGTGAACACCTACATACTAACTGCCTCTGACAGCAAATCCTTTTGTGGATGTAGGCAAGTCTCCAAATCTCTCCTCCTCTATTTCCGTTCTTCAAAAATAGTGATTATTAGTAAGTGCTGTTTAATAGTATTGCATACTATATTTGTCCAAAATGAGGAGCACAGCAGCAGCATGTGCCTGCAATAATTAATGTGTCAGAACACAGTAAAAATTGCTTGCAATGCTATATTTGTCTTAGCAAAGCCGTTTTTGCTCAAGGAGGATGCATGCGCCTGTTTTGAGGTAATAACAGATTCAGCACCAAAATGAAGCAGAGAAAAGCCAAGCAGCTCTGGCTTTTCCAAAGTTCTTCAACAGAACCGGGCAATGTAGGTAACAGGGGTCTATTGTGTAGATGGTATGTGAAACATCACAGTTTGGCTGACTGCTGTGACCTTTCTGCTTTATTCATTAAAAAGGTGTAGAGGGCCATGCTGTACTAGAACTGGTGTCTTCTTTATTGTCTGCATGACTAGACATCCCTGGCATGGATAACATGGAGAAAGTGAATGGACTTTGTCTTCTTTGAGGTTATTCCTTCAGCTCACAAGCATCAAATTACATCCTGGTGGTTTATGCCTAAATACAGCCTTTTTTACAGGTCTGTCACATCTGTGCTGTACTTCTGTGGGGCTCATGGAGAGCCATCTGAGGTGTTAAGAAGGGATGAGAGCAAGAAAGAATGTGTTGGGGATGAAGATGAAGGGAAAGCAGGCAAGCAGGGTTCCAGGCTTTGGGTCTGGTGTTGCATCCTGAGCTCTGCTGCTTTTCGACCCCACATATTGGGCAGAGCAAAGAGCAAGGCAAAGGTTCAGTGTCTGCAGTAGGAGACTGAGACCAAATGACTGAGTGATATACTCGAGAGACTTTACTGACCTCTGAGTGCAGATGTATCTTGTTTGCACTTTACACATAAATATGTATAACCCACCAGTTCTTATGATTCAGTATTGAAAGAAATGAGATTTATAAACTAAGTAAATCCAGCATCTAGATCCTTCATGGAAAAGGTCAACTGTAGGAAATAATTTCTGTGGAACATAATCACAGAAGCTAGGTGAAGATGGATGAAATGCAGCCAGAACATCTACTGCAGCTATTTAAGATGCTGCAGTACTAATGACAGGGGTACTGCAGAGGGCTTTCTTGTGCTCAAGCCCTGAAGGAGTCAGAGCACTTCTGGGACCTGGTACAATTCTGTCCAACTGCTTCATTTTTCATCACTATTGAGATGCAGCATCAGTGGCAGCAAACACAGGCGTTATGGTGATGCTGCAGCCTGTGGGTAGGCTCTGTGCTCTCTCTCTGACACCAGCAACCTGGGATTTGCTCTCAGTGTCAAAAGAGCTTGTAATTAAGACTCCTTTTCATTATGTAAGAAATGATTTTTGGCTGGGTGCCTGTTCCCAAACCTTGTGTATCCATGTGAAAGGGGGAAGTGGCCTGCAGGAAGTGTCTGGGACAGAGTGTCTGTGGTGAACAAGACAGAGGAAACACACAGGTCTTGATTCCTTGCTGCCCTGTAGCTCTGAGCAGGGTGGTCAGTCAGAGCTCTCAGGGACCGCCCTAGACTGATCAGTTTACAAAAAGCTTGATGAAAGGAGCTACATCTGGTCTGCAGGGACCACCAGCAGCAAATGGCATACAGAAGAGGCGTGTGTGGAGATGGACTATGGTGCAACCTGTCATGGAAAGATAAAGAACTTCCGTTTCCACTTGAAAATAAAAAGTGCTTGTCATTAATCAATGTAGTGTAAAAGTTTTCTCTCAGCAATGGCCACTACAGTTCCTACTTTGTTATCAACACTATGAGAGCTCGCATATTGAAGATACCTGTGTGAAGCTGACCACCTTCCCCCTTCTGAGTCTGCAGAGGGGAAGAGGAGAGCTCTGAGTGTTGCTTCCTTACAGTGAGGCATGCAGTGGACACAATGTAGACAGGTATGCTCTGATTTCAGTTCTACCAGCTATAGCCTTTCTTCTACCCGTTTCTTTTCCTAGTGTCCAACAAGCACCATTTTATGGACAGCAACTTGCTTTACCAGTGCAGAATGAATTTCCGCCGCCGCCGGCGATTAATGGAGCTCCTCACTGAGAAATCTCGCTTGATGCCAGAAAGCCACGACAGCCCGTTTTGCCTGCGCAAGCAGAACCATGACAACAGAAAACACACCAGTTTTCTCTCAGGTGACTCATCAACTATACTGCTGTCTGTAGGGTGACTCCATGGGATGTTAAAAAGTCCTTTTTGGACAAGGGGTTTCAGTTCCCTAGGGTAGTTTTGTATGTGGATCAATAGCATTTCAAATGCTGGTCAAAATACGGTGTCCACAAACAAGCAGAACTAGTTAAAATCCCCCAAGCCCAAAGTAATATGTCATACATTTTATGTGGAGTTTTCAAGAAGAGTAAAAGTGAGGGGAAGGGGTCCTGCAGCATTTGCTAGTTAGTAAGAACTAAGAGAATAAATGCAAAGTAAAAAGATGGAAAAACTTACTTATATTGAAATGCCTTCTAGAAGACAGTGCAATGGGAATAGTTCAGCCATCATGTTAGCTGCAGGATGCTCATACAGTGACTTTTCCAGCTGTGTGGAATACACTAACCCCTTCCCAGTGTTGTTACTGAAAGCGTGGCTTATTGCTGTTGTTTTAAAGAAACCAGGGAAGTGGGTTTAATAACTCATATGGGTTCCCTTTCTCTCTACATTTTCTGTTTGCTTGTAGTGAGTCCCACCAAGGAGATAAAGATCGTATCAGCAGTACGGAGAAGCAGCATGAGTAGCTGTGGCAGCAGTGGGTATTTCAGCAGTAGCCCAACACTCAGCAGCAGTCCCCCAGTGCTCTGCAACCCCAAATCTGGTGAGCACCAGCACTGCTTGCAGTGCACAGGAGCAGCATGCCTAGAATCACGCCTGAGTTTATCTTTTTGAAGGATGCATTAACAATTCACAGTGCCACAGGTTTTGTGGGCCAGAGGGCACTATTATCTACTAGCCTCAAGTCTGCTGAACCCAAGCCAGACGTCTGCCTCCAGTAATCTCTGCATCAAGCCCATAATTGTGGCTTGAGCTGCAGTTTATCTCTTAGGAGGACATGCAGTCAGAGGCCCAGATTTGCTTCTTCATTGCCAAGCTCTGGACTGATTCAAATCCCCTCCTAGAGACATTCCTTCAGTGCAAGTCAGAGGAGAGTTTAACTATCCAGTGGCCGCTTGAGTTACTATGAAATAGCACAACTCAGAAAACAGCAGACTTGAAAGAAAGAGGCAGCATTGTTTCAGCCTGTCAGGGACCATTTCAACGTTTTCATTTGTTTGGGTCTTACACCGGGCTGTTTAGGAAGGTAAATGTAGTGCTGAAGCTTATTTTCCTTTTGAAAGGATTTCCTATCCCATGCCGGAAGGTTAAACACACCCATTCTTACACAGTTCACTTAAAATTGTTTCATATGTACATCTGGGAAGGGGAAAACAGACCAGGACAGATATTGTTTCAGCCTCTCTGTCTCCCTCAGAAACAACCCTGAATTTCAAAGCAGAGTCCTGGCTGCCCTTTGTGCTCCTTATTATTATTTCAAATTTACCGGGTCTCTGCTGATGGTGTGGGGAGTGTTTTGCAACGCGGGGAGGCTTCAGTGGATATGTGCAAGTTCTGCTTTCAAAGGGGCGCTGGTATCTGAAGTGATTACTAGAGAGTGCCTCAAGCACTGTATGAATCTCATTCAAAACATTTACAATTTGCTCTGGAGATGCATGAGCTAAAGTGCATTTCATTCCTTCTGTGCGGTGGCCATCATAAAGACAGGCATAGTTACAGCAGTATTTTCTCTCTCTCCTTTTAGCACATTTCCTTCCCTCTCCTTAATCTCTGCAGGGAATTCAGTATGAGGTTCTAAGTTGAAATAATTTGAAGGACTCAGTAGGGTTGCATGCACAGCAACCATAGCACCCCACATCAGACCTGCTGTCCAGCTTAAGGGAACGCTCTCAATACTGTTGGGCATTCAGCACCACCTTTTGATGTGTTGACCCCTAGGTGCAATGGGTTTGCCCCTGTATGAAGAGTGCCACAGTATCATGTTTTGGCAGACTATCTCCCAGGTATACTTCCTGGCAAAGACTGTTGTATGGGGAGCTCTTTGGCCTCAGTTCATCATTAATTACATCCTGGAAACTTTTCTGGGACAGATAAAACACATTCATGTGCTGTCCATAAATGTGTTTGTTATCTGAAGTATGCTGACTATTCTGTTCATTTATGGTTCTGATTATATACGAAGTGTCAACCCATGGGTGGTGAGAAGAAGTTTATTTTAATGCAGCTGATTACACAACACTGGAAGAAGGAGAGGCTGATGTTGCCCTTGCATAAATTCCTTATTTTTCTTTAATAAATTCTCCTGTAGGACTAGTTTTCAAACACCGAATAGCTTTAGCAGACTCATATTTGAAAGAAGACAGCAGTGGACTTATAAACAGACTTCTTTTTAAGAGTTTCACAATTACTGGCAGCGTAGGGTAATTTCTCCCATAGCACAAGCACAGATCCCCACGTCATCTTGCTTGGTTAACGTAAGGCTGTCAGATGTAAATACCATGGAGGAATTCTTAATCCTGTGCTGGACTATAAAGTGATTTTTTTCACAGATAGTTTCCTGCTCTCCATGCCCAGAACACATTGCTGAGCTGAGTGCTAACAAACACAAGGCAGAGGTATATTTATTGTCAGATGAGTTCTCTTGCAGGCAAACACTTAAAACCACCCAGGTCATGACTTGACCAGTCATGTAGAAAAACAATGGATGTGCAATGAAGGGAGGCATGCAAGGGAGTCCTGCCTGGATAATTTACCTGATTCTGACTTGTAGAATGAGCATAATCACTCAGGGTTTCCACATTGATCAGGCATGCTCTGCAAAGCGTAACACTGGCTAAATGGCAATTTGTCAAAATCCATGGGAAAGTAAAAGAAATACGTATTGGTTTGTATGATAGAATTCTGCCTGCTCCCATGAATGTCATTAGGAAACTCAGGAATGTCTTCAAATACCATCTGTGGGAAATTTTATGTTCCACCTGTGACTGAAAAGGCAGATACAATCAGAGTTATTTATGAAGAAAAACAGCCTTAATTTTAAAGGTGAAGTGGGCACATAGGGTGAACAAGATGCGTCTTTACATTGTCCTCTGTCTTATGAAGCATTTATAGACAGATAAAAAATGACACACAGATTGGTATTGATTTGGTTTGGCAGAACTTTAAATTTACTTGTTCAGAGGAAAATTACCTCATTACACAGCAAGGCAATGTGGAATCACCTGTAGAAACTCACTGGTATTTCCTTTCATGTAAAATCCCAGATGGGGTGAGATGTCTGTGCCTACAGCTGCAGAACTCTCTTGGGATAATTCCTGACCTAACCAGAATATTTTTGTTACTTAATTCCATGATGCAAACCTGATTCAGATGAAATAGCAAAGATCACCCAACATGCACAGAGCAGGCTGGTAAGAAAAGCTGCTCCATATCAGGAAGGTCAGTCCCTTTTCTCAACACTGGACTCAGGAACAGCCACTTCTGATAGTTGTGATAATGTTTTGCAGCTCTTGATTGCAGACAACAAAGTCTGTTGGCTAAATGCCCAAATCTGCAAGAACTGAAAGAGTGTATGGGAAGCTGGACCAAAAGGATGTTGTATCCCAAAATTACTTCTGATTTATTAGGAGTATTTCCAGAGGAGTGCTTATACTGAATATTCATTTATCTGCCTCCACAGTCTTAAAGAGACCTGTGACTGCTGATGAGCTCTTGATGCCTGGAGCCCCATATGTCAGAAAAACCTTTACGGTATGTCTCCAGTATTTTTCTTCATTTTCTGCATGTTGTATGCATAAGATAATGCAAATGGGCATTTTCTGTCGGGTTAATTAGAGCTTATTTGCATTTGCTGAGGTTTGTACTTTAAAATCCCAAACTCTGTTATCAGTACTTCCACACATTTCAGGTCTGATTCTGCAGTTGTTTATCCTGTCTTTATGCCAATCTAGTATTGCTGACTTAAATGGAGTGTAAAATTACATAAAGCCAATAAGATTTGTATTATACAAACTTATCTAGACTTTGTGCTCCTGGTAAAACTTGCTTTGCAGGAGTGGAGTGGTGGATTACCTACCCAAATTGGAGTCTTCTACTTAGGCATTTGTAGACTGTGATGTGACAGAAATTTTGATTCATATTCATTTTAAGAGAAAACCTTTCAGTAAAGACATTTTTGAACCCAGTCATTGGAAGCATTGCTTTTTACAGCCTCCTGGTTAAATGAATAAAAGCAGAAAGGAAGTTAATTAAAAGCAAGAGGAATCATTTGGACAGAGCCTTTCCCATGAGTGATACCACAGGCCATACACAATGACCTGTACTGTGTGTTGGAAGATGCTGAAATTACGTCTTGAACAATTTAGATGTTACCCCCTTGAATTTCATGGAGCTGCTTGAAGGTGATCGCGTTGTTGTTTTCTCTTTCCAGATTGTGGGCGACGCGGTGGGCTGGGGCTTTGTGGTGCGGGGCAGCAAGCCCTGCCACATCCAGGCTGTGGACCCCAGTGGGCCAGCAGCTGCGGCTGGCATGAAGGTGGGTGTTCAAAACAAGATGATTCACCCGGAGAGTGTTTGTGCTGGTCAGTGAAGACCTTGTGCTGCCTGTATTTGGGGGGGGAGGGAGAGGTGCGTTTGTTCCCAGGGTTAAATACCTTTGTCTGAGTTTCATGCATTTATGCACTGTGAGTTCTGCTGCCTGTCACACCCCTCCTGTTTCTTTTCTTCTGTCCCTGAGATTCTTCAAGTCTCTTTTCCATAAGAAACTCATTTATCCTTTCCAAGTTGCTTTCCTGATCTGTTCCCTTCTTTAGGTGTTGGTTTCTTTTCCAGTTTGTTGGCTGGTTTTAGTGGTGGTGTTGAGGGGTGGGAGTTGTGTTTTGGGCTGGGTTTGGTTTTTTTTTCACCTTTTTCCAGCTCCGCACAACTTTATTTTCCCAGTTTACACTGGAGTTTAGGTGATTGCTGGAAAGCTTCTGGGCTTTGCCTGTACAGAAAGAGGCAAAGTCAGATATATCTATTGAAAGTGAAGCTAGCATAACCCATTGTTTGCTGTAAAGTAATAAAGTTTTAAGACATTTTGAAGAGTGTATGATATTTTACTATTTCATAAAGAGTTAAAATAATTTCATACATGATTTAAGAAAAATAAATACAAATTCCACGTGAAGGCTGTGGTTAATGCAGAGCTCGTTGACTTACCTGTGGATTTCAGTAACGTCCTGCATATATCTATGAAATAATCCCTGTCTTCCACAGTGAGAAAAATAAAAGCAAAGCATTATCCCAAGTACCTAAAAAGCAAGAAAGGGAGATTAGCTGCTACACCTACTCCACTGTCCAGGCTGGGCTAGACACAAAAGTTGATTTATTGGTATATGGCATGTTTTACTGTACTGTGACAACACAAATGAAGGTTTCAGGAGTATTCCACATGCAGCCGAGTTAGCTATGAATCTTGCACCTGCCTTCTAAATCATCCGCCTTCCCACCACACTCATCCCAGCTGCCTCTCACTCATATATTCACACCCAGCAAGCTAGAAGCAACATGTACTTCCATGGCTCCAGGGATGCACATCCTGCCTGTCGTGTGATTCCAGACCTGCAATGGCACCCTCCTTAGCAGATGTACTACAGGGGCTTCTCTTCTCCTACTGCTGGCTTTTTTAGAATAACATTCGCTAGAACCTACTGTCTTTGAAACATTTACTTTTTTTAGAGGACAGACAGGCAAAACCCTTGGGAAGAGGGAATGGGAGCTGTAGAGCCTGTTGGAGCGTGCAGCACCCTGCTGGCAAACAACCTAATTCCTGAGGGACCTGGCATTTGTGACATGTTTTATATGATACCTAAATAAAACATGCAGTTACATCTCTTATATGAAGAGTATAATTTTCAAATAATAATCATACCTAAAATTTCATAGAATCATGGTTTGAGTTGGGAAGGAGCTTAAGATCATCTAGTTCCAGCTCCCTTGCCATGGGCAAGGACACCTCCCACTAAACCATGTCACCCAAGGCTCTGTTCAACCTGGCCTTGAACACTACCAGGTAAACTTAAAAGACTTACACTTAAAAATTATTAATTTATTCAGATGTATGTTCTTTATCCTGAACTGGGAGTTTTGTGCTTTACAGCATCTTTTACTCTCTGAATATAGGAGCAAGCAGTAAAGTAGATCAGTTCTGAAACCTAACTTGTAAAAGTAACACTGTGGTGTCATATGTTTAATCTTAGAGATTTCACTTCTGCTCTTAGCAGCTTAGATCTGAATATCGTGGGGCTTTGGTTTGTTTTTACTTTTGGTTTCATGCTGGCTGCCCTGTGAATACACACTCGGATGTTCCAGTTAAGCTGTTCTTTCATATTTCACCTATAAAACTGGTTTTATGTAGTAAATGATGTCCTTATGTCTTCATTTGTGCTCTCCATGCATTCATGTACTCCGATAGGGTTACAAAGCTTCGCCTGAACCATTCAAAACATAAGAATGTAAAACAGACTGCTGTCCTGTAGGGAGCAAACAGTATTTTAGACAGTAAAACTGGGATACATTGCCTTGAATTTGCAGTGGTGCTATCTTTATATAAAACTGCTTTTTAGAGCAGAAGTACACAATAAAACTTTATGGCCATATATTAGATGAGTCCCTGTTTAGACACCAAAATCAGTGCCTCATTTTTAGAAACACTTAATACATTTAGCTCCTGGTGAAGAAATGCCAGTTTTCTTTGAAAATAGGTGGTTTTGTTGAGGTGTTCCCATGGCAATAGGGATGTAAATTATAGTGCAGGATTTGAAATCTTTAAAAATCTATGTCACTTAATCCATCTGTTTACAGAACTGTTCAATCTGGCGAGTTTAAAGGAATCGTATGACAAGCTTTAGATGACAGCTCCTGGAAAATAAACCTTCCCCTGTGTGGAAGCTGCAGGAGGGGCACTTTGAAAATAGACTATTGGGCACAGTAACTTCTGGTGGGCTGGTGCAAGAGGCTTTTGTCTGCCAGTGTTGCTCTGACCACTACACCAAAGAAGCGCTAACAAGCAAAGTTGGCTATGATGAAAAGAGCAAGAATTTGAGGAAGAGCCAAGACTTGGCTTTGCAGTTTGTAGGAAAGTTCTTGGCAGCAGCAGCAGGGTTTTTCCTCCTTAAGGAGATGCATCCAGTGTAATCATTTTTGGAAGTGCCTCTATTTGTAAATCTTGTGATTTTGCATTTGGAGCACTATATTCCTGTTGTTGTGTTATGCTGGACTCATTGTAGGACCTCGTTTTGTGCATTTAAAACTCTAATGTGTAGTATTTAAAGCAGTAAACATTACAAGCTAAACTTACCTGAAAGACTTTGTGGTGTGTTGCTGTCAGTTTGACCTTGGCTGGGCTCCTGGCCTGCTCCAAAGTGCTGTGAACTGGGACTCTGAGGAGAAACCTCCATAAGCCCTGACCACGCAGAGCAACAGTGTGGTGGGCACGGTGGTGGGCATCTGGGGTGCACTGGTCTCTGTCACATACCTCCACCTCTGTGTTGCAGCACTTGCCATCTCCTTATACATTATATCCTCTTCTGGGGGAATTTTTAGACAATTTCTTTTTGGGAAAACCCCTGTTAGCATGGTCTGCTGAAGAGGGTGTTACGTTGTGGGTCTTGATACCTCTTCTGGTGCTGGTGAACAGAATAACCACTGACAGTGTGAGGCTTCACATATGAAGATGAGTAAATAATTTAATAAATACCTTGTCAATTAGCTTTCTTAAAGTATTTTTAGCCCTGGTTTGTTGAAGCGCAGTTGCCTGTGAAGCATTGCGAAGAGCATGATTACTGTAAGCGCATGAACAAGTGGCAGCTGGAGGCGACGCGGGGCTATGAAAGGAGTCACTGTTGCAGTGCGTACTTCTGAGTTACTTGCAGCTCTGTTTTGCTGTCTGTTGTTGTCAGCAATGGGAGACAAGAACAGCAGGGTTTCAAAGTTCCCAGGTTACTTTAATATTAAGCATTGATTGGCTGAAAAATTTGGCTTTCTGCAGATGCCAGTGTTAAACATTGCCAGTTGTCAGGAAAACTTTTTCCCTTTTTTCAGTGTTTTATTCTGTAAGTAAATCTCTGTTTTTAAGGTGTGAGTATGCTTTGAAAAGTCATGCAACTTGACTTCAAAGTAGTGACTTAAATTATGCATCACGTTTTATGTATCATTACCCCTCTGCGACAAAAACAAGCAAACCCAGCTTAGTGTGAGTCCTGTGAGAGAGACAAATTAATCACTCATTTTGCTGATTATCTGTTTTTCTCTTTGGCTGGAAAAAAATCAGTGCCCAGCTCTAACCTTTGAGGAATCTGAAGAATATCTGAGTCCTTAAACTGATTTTGAGCAAATTGCTATTCATAGCTGTTTACATCCAAGGCCCTTGTGTCATACAAATTGCCAACAACCACTCAAACTTTTCTATCCTATTCTAGTTCTAGCTCTTCATTTCGGTTAGTAGCAGTGAGTCTGGGGGGACCATGTATGGTCACTCTTCTGTTTCAAGCTTTGCTTAGGGATTACAGTATACAGCTAAGACGATTTCAGCTTGGTTCTGCTCTCCTCCTGATCTTTAAAAGCTGGTGCAGGGAGGAGGTCAGCCTCATAAATTTTCTGTCCGTGCCATCCCCTTCTGCATTTGCTAATGATTATTTCAGGTTCACAATTTATTTCAGTAGCAGAATAAGAGCCAAATCTCAAGTGTAATTGAGTAGCTGCTGTCTCACAGAGAAGATTCCTGCTGGGTTCATTGAGGTCATCAAGCACAGTCTCCCTGCAATCAAAGGAACATAGGTACTATCTGATTAGTCCAAGGAGTCTGAATACTGCCACGATCATAAAATATTATGGGTTTGTAAGGACTAAAAGCTACACATTATACGATGTTAAGTGGTGGGAAAACCAACCCAAAACCATGTGATGTCAGAGGAATTGCCAGTGCCTTAGATTCCTGCAATAGGAAGAAATTTGAACTCTGAGATTCTTGGGAGGTTGAATGTACACCATGAGGCAGAGAAACACAAAACTCTTTCCATGATCCTTGTAAGTCTGACCTCAAACCTGCTGACTGCTCAATTGTTCGACAAGCAAGATTAACCAGTGTAAAAACGCTAAAATAAATATAAAAATAAATAATTATTCCCCCAGGAAAAAATGTCCCATTTATGGCTGTGGCCAGTCGTCAGTATTTTACAAGATAGTGGGAAAAGTAGACAAACACAGACATCATGAGAAACTTCTTTGTAACTCCTAAATGCAGCCTAGTGGGAGCTTGAAGACTGGGATTTATATTGTATAAATAAGGCACAATGAACATGCCTCCATTTAACCCTCTTCACGAAGCTTAGGAAAGGAAAGATACCTCAATGTTTGATGCTAGGGCTTTAACCCTTTCAAGCACTGGGGAGATGCTTCAGTGTTAATTGAAGGTATCCAAAGGGTACTTCTGCTATCTATCTCATGTGACTGAGCTTTAAATGAGAAGATGAAGCAGGTTTGGATAAATATTTA